TTAAAACATAATGCTACTGCACAGTTAACAGACTCCAGTATAGTGTAAACATAATTTTCATATGTACCAGGAAACCAAGAAATTCGTATGACTTGCTCTATTGCGATACTCGCTTTATTGCAGTGGTCTGGAACCGAGCCTGCAGTATCTCCGAGGTCTGCCTGTACTGCCTTACTCTTAGAAAGATTCCATTCAGCTCACAAAGCTCTATGGAGCATATAACCACACACGTGTAAAGTTCAAATAGGAGGCAAAAGGGAAATGAGAGAATACACTTGAAGACGAAGCCGGGAGGCTGTGAATACACAGAAGGCAAACCCTGAGATGCTGTGCATTTTCAATGGGCCACAAACTTGGCTCCCAGCAGCCACTACAGAAAAAGGGCCAGGATCCCTTTCCCAGTTTAGACTGTTCACTGGAGGTTCACCAGGACGACCACAGCAATCCTGGCACAAAGAACCTACCCACGTCTGTGCATAAGCAGATAACCTGAGATGTAGTGAACAAAGTCCCCAGCAACACCCAAACAGCTGGGAGGCATCTCAACGGCATTTACTGCAACACTGAAATGTCCCTCACTGTGGACCAACTCCAAATCCCAAAGTGGAACTGACCATCATTTGGTATATCAAATGATCAGACTGATCAAAATTTGGTATCCCAAATTTTGAATTCAGCACACACCAACTTTAGAATCAGAAAATAATAAATATTTGTACTTTTACAAAAAGATAAGGGAAGCAGTAATCCTTGACAGTTTGGGGGTGCACTTTGATACAGAATCCCTCAGCCATCGCTCCAAGAGAAGGCCCTATGCAGTATTGCTGTTTTTGTAAAGCTAAGCCTGAGTGCCGAGGAGAGAGACAAGACAAACACAGGCTATTCTGCGAACTGGTCAAGGAATGTTTCTCACTTTGATGATGAAGCTCCAAGTGTTAACTATTAAAAGCACCTGCAAATGGTGACTCACATTTGTCACTGTTTACACTGAGCTCTACAACTTTCTATCTAGTTTATCAACGTAAATAATTCACACCCCGGATCTCAGGTGCTCACTGTCCTATGCCCAGCGCCTGGAATAGCGCCCGGTGCAGGTGAGAAATAAGTGCTTCCTGAATGAATGATGTGCTCATCTGAGAGATCCTGGACAACCAGTGAATCTACTGATACGCTGAGGTTGTCTTGGCGAATCCTTCCCCAGCGGGGCCTTACCCACCATGCCCTGGTTCTGAAACTCTCACCTGTGACAATGAGACAGGTGAGAAAGGGGCCCAGATGTGGAGGGCCCAAGCTCCTGAGCTGTGCGTCAAGGAAAACACATTAAACATGGAAAAGGGAAACTGCACAGCTGGTGTCTAGTCTCGCCCGAGTCCCACTGTTGCAAGGATAAACACTGGGGCAGTTCAGGACAAACACAGCTTTGAGTTCTGAACAGGCAGAGCTACTTTCCCTTGAGCATGGAGGCTGCAATATGAAATCTGTTCCTTGCTCAGAGCAAGGACCTGCCTTCTCTAAAGGAGAGGCCTGTTCTGAAGGTACCGCCTGAACTCTGAGCTGCCTGCTCTCTGGGCAGTGGGACTGCTCCATCCTGAGTGCACCAGAGCAGCCCAGGCAGCATTTTCTCCAAAGAGACCCTCGGAGAGCAGCTAGCCTCATGGGCAGTCCCAGGCAAGGAGGCCTGGGTGCACCGTGCTTGTCCACACAAATGTTAAAAGGATCAGGTCACGCAGCCTCAGGACCTAATGGGCTCAGAGACAGCAATGTCAAAAGGTCACAGTCACAGCAAGAGCTGACAGTGGCTTCAAAAAGAAGGTATTATCTTCGAACGGGAAGTAACGACACGGGAAGAGCACCGGACAGGGAGTCCGGAGGCCTGCAGGTACGAGCCTGGTTCTGTCACTTCACTGCCCTTCCTAGGCCTCGGTTTTCTCAACTGTAAAATGGACGTGAATTCACTGATAAGACTGGCTTTGTGGCTTCCTAGTCATGAACCCCTACAACACAACAGCAAAATGGGAGATATGCAACAAATACAACATGGTCCTTGCCTTTCAACCTGATTATAATGCATAGGGCTTAGCGCAGTGCCTGGCTCCCAAGATGCTCTTAATAAAGTCGTTGTCAGCAGTAGTATCCAGGTGGCTGCTGGGTGCACATGGCCTGTGGCTTCTACTTCCAAATATCACACACATCACCTACCTGCCTCCACTGCGTGGTGCTAGCTCAGGCCTTGCCTCACTGGGTCCACTGCAGCAATCCTCTCCTGTTGTGTCCTGACCCAGGAGCTCACTGTCCCAACCGTCCTAGCATCCCTGAGCTCCTGCCTCACCAATTTAGTCTCTACTTGCCCATTTGCGCTTCTCTCGGCACCATCACCAATCATGATGCCCCTCCCTCAAAATCTCCTTTTCCTGCAAAATTCAGTCCAAAGTCTTTAGCTCGGCATTTAAAGACCTGACTAGCTGTCTCCAGCCCACTTTCCAAGTCTCACTGCCCCTCAGGTGCCTCTGTGTTGGCAGCCCAGGCCTCGTTCCCACAGCACACCATGCACTTGCTCTTTTCCTGCTGCTCCCCCACTGTGGAATCATTTCCTCTCCTTTGACTTTCAGGATCCTAACCCACATTGCCAAGCTCAACTCAAATGCCTTCTGTTTTATTAGGTGCTCTTCTCAGCTTCTGGCTCACTGAGTAGTCCCTTGCTCTCAAGCTCGGCTATGTTTTTATTTCTGATATCGTCTCTATCATCAAATGTGCTCGGTTCATCTTGAAATGGAAGTTTCAGCTCAACGGCTTTCCCCCCATGAAGCCCCGTGAAGGCTTTCTTGACCCCCTTCTTCCCCACACTCAGCCTCCCCACCACACACGCACACGCAACGTGTGTACTCATAGCATTTCTCCTCTAGACATTCCTTCAACAGCTTCCATCCACGGTGCAACGGAATCAGAATCGTGCCTTGTTTTTCACGGGGATGAAAAAGCACCTGGCCCAGAGTTGGTGTTCAGTATCTCTTAGATGTATCTCTTAGATGATGTTGATGAAGATAATCAGAATGGTCCTCGGTGGCCACAGGGAAGCACCAGGCAGCACACGTGTACAACCGAACTGTCTGCTGTTTCCCATCCATCACCGCCGTACACAGAGAACGCACTGCCTCTCTTTCATCCCATGTGAATGCCCAGACCCAGAATTCAACCTCCTTAAGTTTTCCACACAGAATCCACTCACACACAAGTGTGAAAAAGCAACAGGGACTTTACAGAAGGCTCTGGAGGGGAGATGAGGGTGGTTGTCACACAGCACAGCCCACGACCAGCCACCTTCAATTCCTCATGAGGCACTCAGGGCTGCCCAGTCTCTCGTGGGTCCCACCGACCCAGACTGTCCCCCCTCCGTCTTCCTCCACACAGCAACTGGCCTCACCACTTTCTCTCTCCTCCTTTCCAAAATCCCAGCTTTAAGTTGCTCCGCTTTCTATTTTGCCACCAGTTAACATCGGCCAGGGCTTCATACCCAAATTCTTCAGAAGGCTCAGCTCCCACTGGTCCCTCAGTTAACAGAGCCCTGTTGCCCTTGAAGGCTCTTTGGCCACCACCTTTGGGACTCAAGCATGACATTCAGTGACTTACTCCTTCCCTCAAGCGGTCTGTGAGATATTTATCCCAAACATAATGTGGAGCTCCCCCCAAGGAGGCTTCTGATGGGTGAAATTTCACCATCTCCCAACATCTGTGGTCACCTTCCACTGAGTTTTTGCCATGAAACATCAAGAGCCATGGCACCTGTCTTCCAGCTCCCCTGCCTGATCTCTGATCCCCGCAACCATCTGGACACCCCCACTCATTCTACCTCTGAGCCAAATGACTCGTGACCGTGCCCCAGCAGCAGGTCCACGAAGGGCAGCCCATACTGAACAGCTTCCCGAATCACGACAAGTTATTTGGAACACAACATCCTTCTCAGGGAAACTCTTGACTCTGATCAGACTCAAGAAAGCTGGTGGACAGGGCTACCCAGGGAAGGAGCCCACCTGCGGCAGGAGCCTGGCCTGACCAGGGTGACCGACTCACGCCTGTTCACCCACAACTTTCCCAGTCTTTGCACCAAAAGAACCATGCCCCAGGCCCCCCAGGTAAACAGGGATGGTTGGTCACTACAGGCTTGTACCACCCACAATCCTTGCCAAGAAGCAGGAGCTCAGGAGGCCCGTCAGTGAAGCCAAGCTCCACACAGGCAGATCAGAGAGAATGCGGGAAATGCACAGAGGAGGGGCAGGACGAGCCTGGGCTGCAGGTGGGGCTAGGAGACAGCCTCCTCAGAAGTAAGGTCACGCGAGCAACGCTCCAAGCACGGGGCCAGTAGTCTCAGGTGGACTGCCCACGAGTTTCACCACCAGCATGACTGAGGATTTCTACCAGGAGCAGGACCCTGATCACACAGGGCAGGAGACTAGAAAACTCTGGAGGCCAGAGGACAACAGTAACATTCTCAGAAGGCCACCAAACACAGACACACACACACACACACACACACACACACACACACACACAGACACACACACACACACACACTCACTCACTCACTCAGAACTTCCTGGATTCCGGCATTTATGGAGCCTCTGCAGAATTCTGAGCACACGTTTCTTTGACCCTTTCTCCTCTCCAAGACTGTCAAGCGTGCATGTGTGTGTCTGTGTGTGCCCTGTGTGTGTGCACGTGCACACCTCTTCTGCTAGCAGAGGAAATGCTCTACATCCGCTCCAACAGACCCTCTCTGCCCCAAACAGTGGCCCACTCTGCAAATGCCCCACACATCGCTGGCTCAGCTGTGCACAAAGACCCCCCATGACCATATGACCACACGTAAGCACTCGCCCTTCACCCCCACCTCCCAATAGCCAATGGCCTGGAGAAGACGCAGCGAAACATCACATCCCCATAAACAGAGAGATCACGGACCAGATAGCAGACTTCCTCGTGTGAGGAGGGAGCTGGGGACTCACCAGGACTCTGCCGGTCAGTGTCTGGGCAGATATCATCACCCCCGCCCAGTCTTTCACGGAGGTCATCCAGCCGACCTCGGCTGCCACCGCCTCCTCTTTTTCGTCCACTGGTTTGAGAGTGCCGTCCGCCTGGCTTGAGCCATTGTTAATCTTCTGGGCCTCCTGGCAACAGAGAGAACAAGGGTTGAGACGTAGCCACCAAGTGGATTTAAAAAACACAACCTACCCCAAAGAATCAAAGCTAGACGGGCCCCCGCTGAGGTGGGCACTGGCTTGAAGGTACAGGGGTTGGGAAGAAGGGACAGATTATGGCTTTGATTGTTTTTTTTTTAATCTTTTTAAAAAGGATCTTTCCTTTGTTTCCTCTTAAAATATCTTTGTGAAAGAAAGAAGAATAAAATTATTCTCTTCTTATTTTAAAGAAAAAAGTCATAAAACTCAGGAGGGAAACCATCCTGTCTAGGGTCACGGAGTGGCTAGACAGGAAGTGAGGTCAGCATTCTGTAATCTCCACCTGCCCGGCCTTCATACCCTTCTCACAGACGTACCCTACTTTCCTCAAAAGAAATCCCCACCTCCTCCTCATCTCAGTTTGTGTGGTTCAAAAGGGACTGAAGGTCCACCCTGCCTCCAGGAATGGAGACTGGTCCATCAGATCAGTGCATTCCTCTGGCAACAGCAATTGGGCCAAGGATGGTTATGCGATCCCATGCCAACCCAGTACGACTCAAGCCTGGGACTTTTGCTGGAAAGAATAAGAAAGGTAACCCTTCCCTAAGAATGAAGCCACCACAGAGGAAACTAGGAGAAGTGGCAGAATACTGATGTCATCATTTGAACACCTGGATCCAGCTGTGCCTGAAATCCACACCAGACCTTTCTAGTTACAGGAGGAAATAAATTCCCCTTTGTAGCTAAAAATGTGCTTGAGGACCAAGGCTGACTTCATCAGATAACGGAGCCCCACATGGGGTCCTAAACTGTACACTTCTGCGTGCACTGTGCCCTCTGCCTAAAATACCCTTCTCCCACGGAGGGTCACGGCTTACGCCCTCACCTCTCTCAAATCTCTGCTCAAGTATCACCTTTTCGATACTTCTTCTCTGGCTACCCTTTTAAAACTCCAACTGTCTTCTGACAGCACTGCCTTTCTGCTTTGTTTTTCTCCAAAGCACTTAAGATTTCTAACACACTCCATAATTCTCTTACTTATTTCGTTAACAGTCTGCCTCCCCCAACTGCTGAATCCTGAGTGCCTAAAAGAGAGCCTAGTATATGGTTGGCTCAATAAATATGAAAGAAGGAATAAAAAGGGTTATGAATGTCAGCCCCTCACTCACTATAGAGCCTGGGCTTAGGGGTTGCCAAATAAAATACAGGAGACGCAGCAAAATTTGAAACTCAAATAAGCAACAAATAGTTTTTCAGTATAAGTATGCCCCAAATATTGCATGGGACATACTTATATTAAAAACACATTCATTGTCTAAAATTTAAATGTAACTGGGCCCCCTACTCAAATAACCACTGAGATTATTTTTGCAGACACAGATGTTTAAAAAGATGCCAGCAAAATTATGTTCATCATTTAAAATGCTAGAATTAACAAAACAAACTGACCCTGGGGATCACTGTGAATTGGAGTGAGGAGGAAAATCCAAAGACAGAGGTGAAAATCTTTATCTGCAGTGAGTCGGGGTGGGCCAGAATGAGGAAAGGAGAGCTGGGAGGCACTGAGTGAGTCATCCTCCTGGGGACTTGTAGGCAGGCAGGAAGCTGCTCCTGATGCCTGGTTCTCCCCACACCAGCCACCCCGACCCAGGGACGCTGGGCAAACAGATGAAGCATCAGTTACACCAGGCGCTCATGTTTAATTTCCACGTGTACTGGGCCCCCCCAGCGCTGGAACAGTCCAAAAGGAGGCCTGGGGCAGGGGCACAGGGTGGGCATATTTGGGGGCGACCTGCTGACATCTGTGGAGCCAGCTGCCCAAGCCACCTAAGGCCAGTCCCAATGACCTGTTAGGGCCCCGAGTCTCAGCCACGTGGAGACGGCACAGGTGGGTGTATACTGGAAGAGACAGAGACCCTGATGCGTGGCACCCTTTAGTAACTGAAGGTGTAGATGCAGGTCTCCTGCCCCTCCCTGGTAAGATGGGGACCATATTGCCTGCCCCACAAGTGTTGGCCGGATTAGATAAGTGTCCAACGGCACACGGTACACGTTTCATGAATCAGTCTCACCACCTCCCTCTTTCTCCTGGAAGCGCAGACACTCTAGCGGCGGTTCTCAAACTTCAGCAGCGTCAGAACCACCTGGAGGACTTGTGAAAACACAAGAGGGCTGGGCCCCACTTGCAAACCCCCGTTTCTACCAAGTTCCCAGGTAATGCTGCTGCTGCTGCTCTGGGAAGCCCAGTTCGCGCACCACTGCTTGTAATCGTTCTGACCCGACTTGATCATGACTGCCCTGATGTGAAATGGAACATGAATCGTAACCCTCAGCTCGATCCTGGCCTCTCCCTTCGCCCAGGCAGGGAAGAGAGCAGGGCAAAGAGAAGGCCCTCAAATCAGAGGCTCTTACGGCTCCTTGTGAGCAGTGCCTCCCAGAGACATTTCTGAGCTGGTCCAGGGCCACAGCCTGGGGGCCTGAAGGACCAGCTAGCTCTCTGCTCCTCAATCCTGGGGGTGCAGGCTCCCCAGCCACCTGGCTGACCCTGGAGGAGGGAATCGGCATGCAAAGGGCCCGGAGTCAGGGAGTCCTCTCCAGTCACAATGGTTTCCATGCGTCAGTAATTCAGAGCACAAGAGGTATATGGCAGATAACGCTCTCTTGCCAGCCCTCTTACCTGTTTTACAAGTCATTCATTATTTTAATTACTTTACGACAGGCAAGGAAAAACACGGACTAAAGGGAGATAACGCTCTCGTTATTATCTGCTTACACAAGCTGTCGTGAGCATAATTAATTACTTGTGGAGGCAGGACTCGGGGTGGGGAGCGCCTGATGCCAGGCCACCACGTCAGTGCTCCTCGGCCTGGAGGGAAAGCCCCTCTGCACCACTGACCTCACTCTGGCCAAGCATCCCCTCATCGGGAGCAGGTGTAACTCCTGCTCCAGAGAAAGGGGGCGGAGGCCCAGAGAGGTTAAAGTGGTCTGGCTGGGGACACACGGGGTGGGTTTGGGGGAAGGAGTGGTAAGGAACAGAGCCCATTACAATAGCGATTGACCACCATTTACCAAGCCAGAACTGGGGGCCAGCAAGTAAAAATTAAGTGCCTTCTCTGCATCATCTTGCTTAGACCTTGTAATAAATATGACGGGCAGGTGGAATTATCCCCATTTTACAGACAGGCCAACTGAGAGCAGGTATTTCTCAGGGGAAGGCACACAGAGCCTGAGAACGTGGGCTGGAAGCAGCAAGCCCATCTGGGCTTAGGTCTGCTCTGCCACTTACAAGCTGGCTACCTGGGACATGTTAGCTCACAAGCTCAGCCTCCTGCAATGTAAAATGGGGACAGGCATGCAGACCCCAGGAAGGTGGTGGTGAAGCTTATGTGAGATAAGCAATGCACTAGTGCTTAGCACAGGGCTTGGGGAGTGGTAGTTAGAGCGGCTGTGGGACGGGTTAGCTCCAAGGATATTCAGTCAAAACCGTGCCGTCGACTGGGGGCTCTGTGAGGGACACTGGAATAAATAATTACAGAAGAGAGGATAAATGAGCGTCGATTCTAACAGCTATGAGACTTCAACTAGGTAACAGGCCACCACAGGAGGTAAGATGCCCAACTTCTGGACAGGTTCCAGCAGGAGCTGTGTGGCACTCCCCCAGGACAGTGGGGGCAGGGATTCCTGCCGAGAGTCATCCCTGGACTAAGTGACCTCTTAGATCCCTCCGACTCTAAGCTCCATTAGATCAACTTCCCATTGTGATGAGGCGACTGAGGACCAGAGGGAGGCTGCCCCCGGGGTCCCAGTACACTGCTTTCTCTCCTGTGCCCCGCAAAGTGGGCGTCCATCCATCCCCACACCTTCCACTTCCCACTGCAGAGAAGGACCCCGCCACCCTGCCGGGAGGACTCCTGAGTGGGGCCAGACAGGCTCCCCCTGGTGTCAGGAGTGAACTGGCCCTGATTCCTGCTCATCCTCCAGGAAGAGAGAGACAGAGAGAAAGAGAGAGAGAGCATGTGTGTGTGTAAGAGAGAACCCCACCAGTTACAGGCTCCAGCTACCCTAGCCTCAGACAGACCATCAGAGATTTTCTGAAAAGGAGAAAAGGATGCCTTTGAGGGAAGAGAGGAATAAGGAGGAGGGAGAAGCAGGGAAAAGATGAGACGGGGCGGGGCCTGGGGATGTCCTGGAAAGCCGAGGTCCAGTCGCAGCCACCCTCCTGAGGCTCCGTCTTGCCCTGTCTCCCACCAGAGTCTGGTGCAAAAGAAGCCATAGCTGCCTCCTGAGGACAACACTTGACAGTCTCTAATCTCAGTGCCTGGACTGGAGGATGGGGAGGGCTGTAGGGTGCGGGTGCAAGTACAGGAGGCTGCGTGGACACTGGGGAGCAGGGTGGCCGGCAGCCCCCTGCCATCGCAGGCCCACACGGGCAGCCTCTCACGGGCCGGGCTTGGGCACGCGGCCTCACCGCTTCTTGCCTTCTCGCCTTCTCGCCATCCCCCTCAGTGACTTCTGACATGGCCACGGAGGGCCTCGCCCCTACTATGTCCCCTGCAGCCAAAGGCCTGACTGGACCACAGTCACCTGCCAGGTGCTCACTGTCCAGAGCACGTACCTGTTGGATGTTTGGGCATTTCCCCCGAAGCACCAGGTCAAAGACCAAAGCCTGAGAAGGAACCTCAGCCATGCCTTCAGATGCCAACCCCGAATACGGAGGGCCTGAAGGGAAGTCATACGCCCAGTGCCACTCTGCCTACCTGGGAACCACCAAGCCAAGACACAAACCCCCAGTTGGCTCTATTTCTCTTCCCTCTTTTTGCCTCCCCAAGAGGATGATTCCACCAAATCTAGCCCAAGGGAACCCATCACTCCCAAGCAGATCCCTGCCTCGCCAGCCTGCAATCTGGAGCCCCAGCACTCCCAGGGCCAGCGGAAGCCTCCACCTGGCCTGGTATGGGGGGCGGGGGGGGGGG